ATCTGAGTCCCTCTTGGAGGTGAGAAGATCGGTATAGAAAACGTATAAATAAATAAATAAATGTGTGTTTACAGAATTTTTGCAATGTTCTTAGTTCTGACTGTGCTGTGACTGCCCCTCCAGCCATGAGGAGAGGTGGGTAAGAAATAAAATTCTTCTTACAGTTTTTAAAATAATAATAAATCTTTATTTGTACCCCGCCACCACCGTCTCCCGAAAGGTTCTCTGGGCGGCTCGTGGAAGCACATGCAGACAAAAATACATAAGCACAAACACAATGACAGAAGTACAATCAACAGTGCATAAAAATATCACAGATAAAATTATAAAAATATAAAATTCCTAAAATGCAGTAGAACCTGTGGGTAAGTAAGCTGGCTATCTGACATAACAGTCCAAGTACAGGCAGTGCTATGAAGGATTCATCATGCTGGCCATGGATTAGTCAGGGTCATGTCTGAAGAGCCATGTTTTTAGGCTCATCCGGAAGGCCTGAAGAGAGGCGGCCAATCTAATTACTTTAGGGAGGTTATTCCTGAGCCACCACCAAAGAAGTCTTGTCTGTTGAAGGTAGGGGTGAATGTTTTTATTGGCCACCTTGATTAGCATTTAATGGCATGGCAGTTCTTACAGGACGGCTTCTTACAGCCTGGGGGAATCCTCTGTTGAGAGGTGATTAGCTGTCCCTGATATAGTTTCTTGTCTGGAGTTCCCCTGATTTTGAGTGTTCTTTATTTACTGTTATGACTTTAGAGTTTTTAAAAAATATATACTGTTTTTGCCGTATATATGCTGTGCTCCGCCCTGAGTCCCCTTTGGGGTGAGAAGGGTGGAATAGAAATGTTTTAAATAAATAAATATTAAACAATGGTTTCAAACTATAAGAAAGGAGGTTCCATCTGAACATGAGGAAGAACTTTCTGACTGTGAGAGCTGTTCAGCAGCGGAACTCTCTGCCCTGGAGTGTGGTGGCCATCTGTCAGGGGGGATTTGAATGCAATATTCCTGCTTCTTGGCAGAATGGGGTTGGACTGGATGATGGCTCAGGAGGTCTCTTCCAACTCTTGGATTCTAGGATTGTATTATTCCCCCAGGCAGCAACTAGCCAGGCCTTGGAGCTGCAAGGCTTTGCAATGCCAATCAAGGTGATTAATTACAATATTCAGACTTGTCTCAAGCAGACAAGAGTTCTTTCTCCCACTCTGGACATTAACCCACAGATATGTAAACACCACTTGCCTAGTTTCCAACAGACCTCACAACCTCTGAGGATGCCTGCCATAGATGTGAGTCAAACGTCAGGCGAGAATGCTTCTGGAACACTGAAAACTTATAAACAACCCTTCTGAGGATGCCTTCCAGAGATGTGAGTGAAACGTCAGGCGAGAATGCTTCTGGAACACTGAAAACTTATAAACAACCCCTCTGAGGATGCCTGTCTGCCAGAGATGAAGGCGAAACGTCAGGAGAGGATGCTTCTGGAGCACTGAAAACTTATAAACAACCTTTCTGAGGATGCCTGCCAGAGATGCAGGCGAAACGTCAGGAGGGAATGCTTCTGGAGCACTGAAAACTTATATAAACAACCCCTCTGAGGATATGCCTGCCATAGATGTAGGCGAAACGTCAGGAGAGAATGCTTCTGGAACACTGAAAACTTGTTAACTGACCGTAGGAGCTTGTAGTAGAGGAAGCGGAAGGCCTCTTGGAGGAGGACGGAGACGACGAGCCCGAAGGCCAGGAGCCCCTCCTGGAGGGCGTGGTTGGAGGGGTCGCTGGCCGCTGAGGCCACGAACCAGATCAGCGAGGAGAGGAGCAGCGAGACCAGCCAGAAGAAGGCCCTGAGGGAGGAAGAAGGAAGGAATAAACCTGGAAATAATAATAATAATAATAATAATAATAATAATAATAATAATAATAATAGTGCAGGTTCTAATAATAGGAATAAATAAAAATAGGAATAAACGAAGCTGGAAATAATATTATTGTTAAATCAGGATAGAATAATAACAGGAATAAATAGTAATTATAGGATTAAATCAAGCTAAAATAATAACAATAATAAAAAGATGTATTATAATACAAATAAATAATAATAGGAATAAACCTGGAAATAATAATAATAATAATAATAATAATAATAATAATAATAATAATAATGCAGGTTCTAATAATAGGAATAAATAAAAATAGGAATAAACGAAGCTGGAAATAATATTATTATTAAATTAGGATAGAATAATAATAGGAATAAATAGTAATTATAGGATTAAATCAAGCTAAAATAACAATAATTTATTTGTCGTGTCAGAGCAGCCAGTCCATTATATCACATTTCTAACAGAACAAAGCAAACAAACAGAAAAATACACAACTTGTGAGTTTGGTAGCTGGTTAAATGTCCTTTGACCAGTATCTGGCCACTTGGAGTGCTTCTGGTGTTGCCGCAAGAAGGTCCTCCATGGTGCATCATGTGGCAGGGCTCAGGGTGCATTGCAGCAGGGGGTCAGTGGTCTGCTCTTCTCCACACTCGCATGTCGTGGATTCCACTTTGTGGCCCCATTTCTTGAGGTTGGCTCTGCATCTCGTGGTGCCGGAGCGCAGTCTGTTCAGTGCCTTCCAAGTCGCCCAGTTTTCTGTGTGCCCAGGGGGGAGTCTCTCATTTGGTATCAGCCACGGATTGAGGTCTGGGTTTGAGCCTGCCACTTTTGGACTCTCGCTTGCTGAGGTGTTCCAGCGAGTGTCTCTGTAGATCTTAGAAAACTATGTCTGGATTTAAGTCGTTGACGTGCTGGCTGATACCCAAACAGGGGATGAGCTGGAGATGTCTCTGCCTTGGTCCTTTCACTATTGGCTGCAGATGTCAGGTGGTGCAATACTGGCTAAGCAGTGTAAATTCTCCAGTAGTGTAGGGTGCAGACACCCCGTGATAATGTGGCATGTCTCATTAAGAGCCACATCCACTGTTTTAGTGTGGTGAGATGTTTTCCACACTGGGCATGCATACTCAGCAGCAGAGTATAGCACAAGGGCAGATGTCTTCACTGTATCTGGTTGTGATCCCCAGGTTGTGCCAGTCAGCTTTCGTATGATATTGTTTCTAGCACCCACTTTTTGCTTGATGTTCAGGCAGTGCTTCTTGTAGGTCAGAGCACGGTCCAGAGTGACTCCCAGGTATTTGGGTGCGCTGCAATGCTCCAGTGGGATTCCTTCCCAGGTAATCCTCAGAGCTCGGATGCTTGTCTGTTCTTAAGGTGAAAGCCACATGTCTGTGTTTTAGATGGATTAGGGATCAGCTGGTTTTCCCTGTAATAGGCAGTAAGAGCACCTAGAGCTTTGGAGAGCAAAGATACGGAATGAGGAATACAAATGCAAAGATACAGAATGGGGGACGATGAGGCCTGGCTCGAGAGCAGTACGTGTGAAAAAGATCTTGGAGTCCTTGTGGACAACAAGTTAAACATGAGCCAACAATGTGATGCAGCGGCAAAAAAAGCCAATGAGATTTTGGCCTGCATCAATAGGAGCATAGTGTCTAGATCCAGGGAAGTCATGCTACCCCTCTATTCTGCCTTGGTTAGACCACACCTGGAATATTGTGTCCAATTCTGGGCACCACAATTCAAGAGAGATATTGACAAGCTGGAATGTGTTCAGAGGAGGGCGACTAAAATGATCAAGGGTCTGGAGAACAAGCCCTATGAGGAGCGGCTTAAGGAGCTGGGCATGTTTAGCCTGAAGAAGAGAAGGCTGAGAGGAGATATGATAGCCATGTATAAATTTGTGAGAGGAAGCCACAGGGAGGAGGGAGCAAGCTTGTTTTCTGCTTCCTTGGAGACTAGGACACAATGGAGCAATGGCTTCAAACTACAAGAGAGGAGATTCCATCTGAACATGAGGAAGAACTTCCTGACTGTGAGAGCTGTTCAGCAGTGGAACTCTCTGCCCCAGAGTGTGGTGGAGGCTCCTTCTTTGGAGCTTTTAAACAGAGGCTGGATGGCCATCTGTCAGGGGTGATTTGAATGCAATATTCCTGCTTCTTGGCAGAATGGGGTTGGACTGGATGGCCATCTGTCAGGGGTGATTTGAGTGAAATATTCCTGCTTCTTGGCAGAATGGGGTTGGACTGCATGATGGCCCAGGAGGTCTCTTCCAACTCGAGGATTCTATGATTCTACCATCTCAAAACTCCCTGCTTGGGTGGTGATGGCACGATCATCAGCATAGATGAAGTTCTCTGTCCCTTCTGGCAGTGCCTGGTCATTTGTGTAGATGTTGAAACATAATAATAACAAAAAGAGAACACATAAATGCTGGACCACACCAACAACCACCATGTCAAACACAGAGAAGCCATTGAAATACACAAGAAGCATGTGGACAATTTCAACAGAAAGGAAGAGACCATGAAAATGAACAAAATCTGGCTACCAGTATTAAAAAACTCTAAAATTACAACAGCAAAACAGCAGAGAGGAAACAACCAGGCACATCTTAACACCTCTCAACAGGGGATTTCCCAGGCTCAGCCAGGCCTTCAAATGCTAATGAAGGTGGTCAGTTGAAACATTCACACCTAGCTTCAGCAGACAAGTGTCCTTTGCCCCACCCTGGTCATTCCACAGATATATAAACTCTCGTTTCTAGTTGAAACAGACCTCACTACCTCTGAGGATGCTTGCCATAGATGCAGGCGAAACGTCAGGAGAAATGCCTCTAGAACATGGCCCTATAGCCCGAAAAAACCCACAAGAACCGAAACCTTTATTTGTATCCCGCCAATAAATAATAATAGTAATAAACCTGGAAATAATAATAATGCAGGATATAATAAAAAAGGAATACACAAATAAATATTATGTATATAGCCTGTGTTGGATGGGGCCGCACTCCCCCTGAAGACGCAGGTTCGCAGCTTGGGTGTGACTCTGGACTCATCGCTGAGCCTGGAACCCCAGGTTTCGGCGGTGACCAGGGGAGCATTTGCACAGCTAAAGCTTGTGCGCCAACTGCGCCCGTACCTTGGGAAGTCTGACTTGGCCACGGTAGTCCACGCTCTGGTTACATCCCGTTTAGACTACTGCAACGCTCTCTATGTGGGGTTGCCTTTGAAGACAGCTCGGAAGCTCCAACTAGTCCAACGCTCGGCAGCCATGATTATACAGGAGCGGAGCGCAGGGAGCATACAACCCCCCTGTTGCGCAAACTCCACTGGCTACCGATCTGCTACCGGGCTGAATTCAAAGTGCTGGCGTTGGCCTTTAAAGCCCTAAACGGTTCCGGCCCAAGCTACCTATCTGACCGCATCTCTGCCTATGAACCCACCAGGACTTTGAGATCTTCCGGGGAGACCCTGCTCTCGATCCCGCCTGCTTCTCAAGCTCGGCTGGCGGGGACGAGAGATAGGGCCTTCTCGGTGGTGGCTCCTCGGCTGTGGAACGCCCTTCCTACGGACATTAGACTAGCACCATCTCTAATGGTATTCCGCAAAAAGGTGAAGACCTGGATGTGTGTGCAGGCGTTTGAGTAATTTAGTGCAATCTGGTAATGGAACATAGGAATGGAACAATGGACGGCGAACCTGGACTACGCTTGGATGATGAGAAGATTGGGTATGGGGTTTTTTTTGTAATAGTTGTGTATTGGGATTGCTTATTAGTTATTAATGGAAAATGTGTAAGTTAACTGTCATTGTTGTATGGAACTATTGCTGTTTTTACTGTCTTTACTGTTTGTGAACCGCTGTGAGTCGCCCTCGGGCTTGAGATACAGCGGTATATAAGCAAAGTAAATAAATAAATAAACATTCAATGCACAATGGAAATAGAATGCTAAATCAATGCAAGTAAAAGCAAAAGTATTGGGGTGCAATGGAAATAGAATGCAAAATCAATTCAAGTCAATGCAAAGGTATCGGGGTGCAATGGAAATATAGAGCAAAATTAATACAAATAAATGCAAAAGTATTGGGGTGGAATAGAAATAGAATGCAAAACCAATGCAAATAAATGCAAAAGTATTGGGGTGCAATGGAAATAGAATGCAATACCAAAGCAAAGAAATGGGAGACTCCTGTTCAACCCCACAACCTTTGTCGTGTGGGGTTCCTCAGGGTTCAATACTGTCTCCCATGTTGTTTAACATCTACATGAAGCCGCTGGGCGAGATAATCCGGAGTTTCGGAGTGCGATGTCATCTGTACGCAGATGATGTCCAACTCTGTCACTCCTTTCCACCTGCTACTAAGGAGGCTGTCGAGGTCCTGAACCGGTGCTTGGCCGCTGTGACGGTCTGGATGAGGGCGAACAAATTGAAATTGAATCCAGACAAGACAGAGGTCCTCCTGGTCAGTCGCAAGGCCGAACAGGGCATAGGGTTACAGCCTGTGTTGGATGGGGTCGCACTCCCCCTGAAGACGCAGGTTCGCAGCTTGGGTGTGATCCTGGATTCATCGCTGAGCCTGGAACCCCAGGTTTCGGCGGTGACCAGGGTAGCCTTCGCACAGTTAAAACTTGTGCGCCAACTGCGACCGTACCTTGGGAAGTCTGACTTAGCTACGGTAGTCCACGCTCTGGTTACATCCCGCCTTGATTACTGCAACGCTCTCTACGTGGGGTTGCCTTTGAAGACAGTCCGGAAGCTCCAGTTAGTCCAACGGGCGGCAGCCATGATTCTAACAGGAGCGGGGCGCAGGGAGCATACAACTCCCTTGCTGAACCAGCTCCACTGGCTGCCGATATGCTACCGGGCTCAATTCAAAGTGCTGGCGTTGGCCTTTAAAGCCCTAAACGGTTCTGGCCCAACTTATCTATCCGAACGTATCTCAGCCTATCAGCCCACCAGGACCCTAAGATCTTCTGGGGAGGCCCTGCTCTCTATCCCGCCTGCTTCACAGGTGCGGCTGGCGGGAACGAGAGACAGGGCCTTTTCTGTGGTGGCCCCCCGGCTGTGGAACGCCCTTCCTATGGAGGTAAGATCAGCCCCTCGCTGATGGTGTTTAGAAAGAGACTCAAAACCTGGTATCAGCCTCTTCGCTGATGGTGTTTAGGAAGAGACTTAAAACATGGTTGTTCAAACAAGCATTCGGCTAATCTGTGGCAATCGATCTCTGGTGACCAAGGACAGGAAAATATGGACAACGAATTCTGGATTATGATTTCAACTCGAGATATATGGGATTATTATTGGTGGCCCAATAATTTGTTATTGAATTTGTTATTATATGTGTATATGTTTTTAAATTGTAGATTGTTTTAACTGCTGTAAACCGCAATGAGTCGCCGTTCTAGGCTGAGATATTAGCGGTATACAAGTGTATCAAATAAATAAATAAATAATGCAAAAGTATTGGGGTGCAATGGAAATAGAAAGCAAAATTGATACAAATAAATGCAAAAGTATTGGGATGCAATGGAAATAGAAAGCAAAATCAATAATAGAAAATGCGGAAGTATTGAGGTGCAATGTAAATAGAATGCAAAACCAAAGCAAAGAAATGCAAAATTATTGGGATGCAATGTAAATAGAATGCAAAATGAATGCAAATCAATGCAAAATTATTGGGGTGCAATGGAAATAGAATGCAATGCCATAGACACACATTTATTGAGATACAGCGGTATATAAGCAAAGTAAATAATAAATAAATAATAATAATAAATAATAAAAAGATGTATTATAATACAAATAAATAATAGTAATAAACCTGGAAATAATAATAATGCAGGATATAATAAAAAAGGAATACACAAATAAATATTATGTATTATTATTCTTTAGTTGTATTATATATAATATATATTATAGAGCTAATAACATTAATAGATAATAAATAATGAAGGGAAGGGGGCGGGGTCAGGGCCCAAGCCACGCCCTTCCCGGAAGCAGGCCGAACCCTCCTCAGGGAGACCGGAAACCCCCCACAGTCCCCTCTCTCTCCGCTCACCCGGCGATGAGGACGATGACGCGGAGGGGCTCGGAGACCACGGTGAGGAGGAAGAGGGCCAGCGGGGGCCCGAAGGCCACCCCCGCGCAGCCCACGAACACCGGCACCGTCATGGCCGCCCAGGCAGGCCTCTCCCAAGGCACTTCCGGCCTCGACCCCGCCCCCTCACGTCACTTCCCGGGGAGGGGCCTCGCCCATGGACACGCCCCCTGACCCAGGACACGCCCCTTTTTCCTCATCTAGGCCTTTAGCACTTCCAGCTTGATTCATTCCCATTATTATTATTATTATTATTATTATACTTTATTCTTATTATTTCCAACTGTATTGATTCCCATTATTATTATTATTATTATTATACTTTATTCTTATTATTTCCAACTGTATTGATTCCCATTATTATTATTATTATTAGTAGTACACTTTATTTTCCTTATTATTTCCAACTTTATTGATTCTCATTATTATTATTATTATTATTATTATTATTATACTTTATTCTTATTAGTATTTCTAGCTTTATTCATTCCCATCATCATTATTATTATACTTTATTCTTATTCATTCCCATTATCATTATTATTATACTTTATTCTTATTATTTCCAACTTTATTGATTCCCATTATTATTATTATTATTATTATTATTATTATTATTGTTCTACTTTATTCTTATTATTTCCAACTTTATTCATTCCCATTATTATTATTATCATTATTATTATACTTTATTTTTCTTATTATTTCCAACACTATTGATTCCCATTATTATTATTATTATTATACTTTGTTCTTCTTATTATTCCCAAATTTATTCATTCCCATTATTATTATTGTTGTTGTTGTTGTTGTTGTTCTACTTTATTCTTATTATTTCCAACTTTATTCATTCCCATTATTATTATTATTATTATTATTATACTTTATTCTTATTATTTCCAACTTTATTGATTCCCATTATTATTATTCATTCTCTGTATTATTAATTAATTATATTATGTTATTATATATTACATATATTATGTAATAATATAAATAAATAATAATTTTATTTAATGTATTATTATTTATTTCATCTTGCTCTATTATTATTATTCCCAACATCTTTTTATAATTGTTATTTTAGCTTATTATACTATATTATATTATTATACTTTATTCTTCTTATTTCCAACTTTATTGATTCCCATTATTTTTTTTATTATTATTATTATTATTATATGTTATTCTTCTCATTTCCAACTTTATTGATTCCCATTATTATTATTATTATTATACTTTATTCTTGTTCTTTCCAACTTTATTGATTCCTATTATTATTATTATTATACTTTATCCTTATTATTCCCAACTTTATTGATTCCCATTATTATTATTATTATTATACCTTATTCTTATTATTATTTCCAGCTTTATTGATTCCTATTATTATTATTATTATTATTATTATACTTTATTCTTCTTATTATTTCCAACTTTATTGATTCCTATTATTATTATTATACTTTATCCTTATTATTTTCAATTTTATTGATTCCCATTATTATTATTATTATTATTATTATTATTATTATTATTATTATTATTTCCAACTTTATTGATTCCCATTATTATTATTATTATTATTATTATTATTATTATTGTTCTACTTTATTCTTATTATTTCCAACTTTATTCATTCCCATTATTATTATTATCATTATTATTATACTTTATTTTTCTTATTATTTCCAACACTATTGATTCCCATTATTATTATTATTATTATTATTATTATTATTATTATACTTTATTCTTCTTCTTATTCCCAACTTTATTCATTCCTATTATTATTGTTGTTATTATTATTATTATTATTTCCAACTTTATTTATTCCCATTATTATTATTATCATTATTATTATACTTTATTTTTCTTATTATTTCCAACACTATTGATTCCCATTATTATTATTATTATTATTATTATTATTATTATTATTATACTTTATTCTTCTTCTTATTCCCAACTTTATTCATTCCTATTATTATTATTGTTGTTATTATTATTATTATTGTTCTACTTTATTATTATTATATATTATATATTATATCACATATATATTATATTATATTATATTATTATTATTATATTATTATATTATATTATTGTATATTATATTATTATTTATTATATATTATATATTATATATTATATTATGTATTATATTATAATATATTATATTATAATATATATGTTATATTATAATATATCATTATTATTATACTTTATTCTTATTATTTCCAACTTTATTGATTCCCATTATTATTATTATTATTATTATTATTATTATTATTGTTCTACTTTATTCTTATTATTTCCAACTTTATTTATTCCCATTATTATTATTATCATTATTATTATACTTTATTTTTCTTATTATTTCCAACACTATTGATTCCCATTATTATTATTATTATTATTATACTTTATTCTTCTTATTATTCCCAACTTTATTCATTCCTATTATTATTGTTGTTATTATTATTATTATTGTTCTACTTTATTCTTATTATTATTTCCAACTTTATTCATTCCCATTATTATTATTATCATTATTATCATACTATATTTTTCTTATTATTTCCAACACTATTGATTCCCATTATTATTATTATTATTATACTTTGTTCTTCTTATTATTCCCAAATTTATTCATTCCCATTATTATTATTGTTGTTGTTGTTGTTGTTGTTCTACTTTATTCTTATTATTTCCAACTTTATTCATTCCCATTATTATTATTATTATTATTATTATACTTTATTCTTATTATTTCCAACTTTATTGATTCCCATTATTATTATTCATTCTCTGTATTATTAATTAATTATATTATGTTATTATATATTACATATATTATGTAATAATATAAATAAATAATAATTTTATTTAATGTATTATTATTTATTTCATCTTGCTCTATTATTATTATTCCCAACATCTTTTTATAATTGTTATTTTAGCTTATTATACTATATTATATTATTATACTTTATTCTTCTTATTTCCAACTTTATTGATTCCCATTATTTTTTTTATTATTATTCTTCTCATTTCCAACTTTATTGATTCCCATTATTATTATTATTATTATACTTTATTCTTGTTCTTTCCAACTTTATTGATTCCTATTATTATTATTATTATACTTTATCCTTATTATTCCCAACTTTATTGATTCCCATTATTATTATTATTATTATACCTTATTCTTATTATTATTTCCAGCTTTATTGATTCCTATTATTATTATTATTATTATTATACTTTATTCTTCTTATTATTTCCAACTTTATTGATTCCTATTATTATTATTATACTTTATCCTTATTATTTTCAATTTTATTGATTCCCATTATTATTATTATTATTATTATTATTATTATTATTATTATTATTCTACTTTATTCTTATTATTTCCAACTTTATTCATTCCTATTATTATTATTATTATTTCCAACTTTATTCATTCCCATTATTATTATTATACTTTATTATACTTTATTATTATTATTATTTCCAACTTTATTCATTCCTATTATTATTATTATTATTTCCAACTTTATTCATTCCCATTATTATTATTATTATTATTATTATTATACTTTATTATTATTATTATTTCCAACTTTATTATTATTATTATTATTATTATTATTATTATTCTACTTTATTCTTATTATTTCCAACTTTATTCATTCCTATTATTATTATTATTATTTCCAACTTTATTCATTCCCATTATTATTATTATACTTTATTATACTTTATTATTATTATTATTTCCAACTTTATTCATTCCTATTATTATTATTATTATTTCAACTTTATTCATTCCTATTATTATTATTATTTCCAACTTTATTGATTCCCATTATTATTATTATTATTATTATTATTATTATTATTATACTTTATTCTTATTATTTCCAACTTTATTGATTCCCATTATTATTATTATTATTATTATACTTTATTATTATTCAGGTCTTGCGGGTTTTTTCGGGCTATAGGGCCATGTTCTAGAGGCATTTCTCCTGACGTTTCGCCTGCATCTATGGCAAGCATCCTCAGAGGTAGTGAGGTCTGTTAGAAATAGGAAAATGGGTTTATATATCTGTGGAATGACTGGGGTGGGGCAAAGAGCTCTCTGCTGAAGCTAGGTGTGAATGTTTCAGCTGACCACCTTCATTAGCATTTGAAGGCCTGGCTGAGCCTGGGAAAATGTTCTGTTGAGAGGTGATTAGATGTGAATGGTTGTTTCCTCTCTGCTGTTTTGCTGTTGTAATTTTAGAGTTTTTTTAATACTGGTAGCCAGATTTTGTTCATTTTCATGGTTTCCTCCTTTCTGTTGAAATTGTCCACATGCTTGTGGATTTCAATGGCTTCTCTGTGTAGTCTGACATGGTGGTTGTGAGAGTGGTCTAGCATTTCTGTGTTCTCAAATAAAATGCTGTGTCCAGGTTGGTTCATCAGGTGCTCTGCTATGGCTGACTTCTCTGGTTGAAGTAGTCTGCAGTGCCTTTCATGTTCCTTGATTCGTGTTTGGGCAATGCTGTTTGGTGGTCCCTCTGGAGACTTCTTGTCCACAGCTGCATGGTACACGGTAGACTCCTGCAGAAGTGAGAGGATCCCTCTTGTCCTTTGCTGAATGGAGCATTGGTTGGATTTTCTTGGTGGGTCTGTAGATAGTTTGTATGTTGTGTTTCCTCATCAGCTTCCCTATGCGATCAATGGTTCCCTTGATGTATTATTATTATTATTTATTATTATTTCATCTACTTATACCCCGCCCTTCTCACCCCGGGGGGGACTCAGGGCGGCTTACAAAGGAGGCACAATTAGATGCCCAAATCACACAACAAACAATACAAAATATAACAGTTCAACAATTAAAATGAAACATCAATACCTATTAAAATCATAAAAACTATCTCATGTCAGAGTCCATATATCAGAGTCCATATATCCATTCCATTCCATTGTCCTTGTCTATCGATAGGTCAGTTGTCAGCATGGCCAAAAGCTTGGTCCCACCTCCAGGTCTTTAGTTTTTTCCTAAACGCTAGAAGGGAAGTCGTCGATCTGATCTCCCCGGGGAGTGAGTTCC